TACACATTAGATCTTTATTTAGTGATTTCGTTTTTTTGTTTAATACTGACTCATTTTTGTTATATATATTTTTGTTGAGTTTGTAACATGTCATTTAAATCTTTTTATATTACGACATCATTATGTTATTTTTGAAAAAAAAATATATTATGAGTTTATTTGTTCTATATTTTATTTTGTTCTTGCAATCATATGTTTAATTAATTAAGTTATCTTATCGACCAAAAACATTCATCACCACGTGCATCGCACGTGCACTTTACTAGTGATTACAAAATATCTGGTCATAATACATTTACATTATCTGTTGCCTACTACTTGCCTCGTTTTCCTGAGTATTAATTTTTTTTATCTTCTAAAAAAATCATTTTTGCAGGTACTGCAAATAATGCTGGTGCTATCTTGGTTCTGGGTAGAGATTTAGTGGTTGTACCAAAGCTAATTCATCCTTTACCTCCTGCAATTTCGCCTCCAGAAACCTCTCCCGAACGTCATATAGAAGACACATGGATGCAGGTGCTGATGTTATTTCCAATCTTTCATTTCTAATTTATTCCAATTACCCACTAGCATGTTTCTATATTTGCAAATTTCACCCAGATGATCAATAGTTTTTCTTTAAGGGGTATCGTTCATAGTTGAGCAATATTTTTAGTGTTTTGCTGACACTTTGTTTATCTTTCAGGAACTGAATGCCAACAGACCGGCTACACCTACCAGAGGCCGTCCGCAAGTACCTAACGACCGAGGTTCTCTTGCTTGGATTTAATCTAATGCTCCACAGATTGTTTTAACTAAAATACTTCTCCCAGGCTTCATGCTAACACCTGGAAATTTCCAGAGATTTGTGCATAGCATGTTTCCCGGCCCTCATACGTGGATTAATCCCCACCAAGAGACCTTCAAATCTTCTCGGAGACCTTCGAGCTGTCGGGATCTTTGCATGCTCGAGAAAAAGCCTACACGTGATGAAGAGATGTGTTTGAACTGCAGGTTTCTCGACTCTTAACGTGCTGCTGCGTAAAAGTTTTGGCTACCCCAAAAGATACATATATGCCGTTAAGAGAAGGTTCGAAACCAGGAGTATTGGGTCGTTTCTCGTCAGTCTGGGTTATTGCTTGTTGGCTTTATATGTCAGCTTAGAAATTTTCTTACTTGGTTCATGTAAAATATTGAGGGGTTGTTTCGTTTGTGTACTTTTGTAGCAATTAGTTTCTGGTCGGTGTACAATGTAACATTTGTGAGATGAGAATCACGATCTGATTTTTCATTTCCAGTTAGAGGGATTTTGCTGTTTTTTT